TCTTATACAGGCGATACGGATTATGGTTTCGATTGCGGAAGTTAATAATCTGGTTGCTGGGAGTGTACATAGCCATTCCATTTCTAGTAAAACTTTGCCCTGCTATTCAGGCGAAGCTGGTCTTCCTAAACTTTGGTAAGTAACTCAGCCTGTTGGGATGGGTGAGGGGTGAAGGAGTGGAGTGTCTTTATCTTTCATTTGTCTGCTGTCACTTTCACCCTGTGTGTGTGCAGCTTGTGAAGGATATGAACTTTCACATGTCACAAGTGCTCCAAACTATGGTTTGGAAAGCATCCTCCGTGGCCCTAGTAGTCTTTGTAGTATGTCTCTGTATAAATAGTGACCAAACTGAAGCCAACATTCAGCCAAAAGGGTCTCCTTCAGAAAAACTCTGCAATATGTTGAATGCATTTTTCCAAAGAGTTCAACAGAGTTGCATGAATAGACAGCAAGCAAGTGAAATTAAGTCCAGTGGATTGTTTTCCAGACAATGACTCTTCACCTGAAAGGATTTTAGGAGAATATTCTGGGTGGGATGGAAGAGACCTGTTCAAGCAGTCAGACTGAATGTTTTCCTTGTGTCTGTTTAGCCTTTGCATTTGGTCAAACTGATGGTGCAGTGGGTCTGGTGAGCTGGCTCAGCTCCAAGGTCGCCCAGGGCAGCTTGAGCATCCGCAGGATGGAAAATGATGGAGCATCACTATGTGGGAGACACTTCTTTGTGATCTAAATTTGTCTTTAAACCTCAATTGTGTTTTGTAATGAAGTTTTGAAAAATACCTTCCTTTGATTATAGAAGCTCTGGCTAGAAGGACCAACTATGAATATGTTGCTTTTATACAACTTCCATGATTTTGATTGCATGCTCTGTATATTCTAACACCTTGTATTGTGGTCACTGTGAAGTGTGCACATGTGTGGGCCAGCTCTTGTGCCTTGATTGTTAGAACTGACGGCTGGGTAACGTGAATAATGCAGGTTACTTCCATTTTCATCACCTTGCTTTTTCAGTGATGATGTGCATCTGCCCTTGCAGAGTTTTGTAAGGTTCCATGAAGTTCCTACCTCTATTCATTCCTAAGTGACCAAAATAATTGTCCTGTAACGCTTTATTACGCTAATACTTGCACTAATCGCTGCAGTGTTGTTCCTACTGCTTTATGTAATGGCAGTCACATTTTACTTGTGAAAGTACTCACATGAAAAATTATTTGCCTTTATACAAAGTGCATTCTAACACTCTTATTAGAAGTACCTTGGCATGTTTGAGTAATTCCTCTCCATTGGAGAGTGACATTTCTCCTTCAGAGGAGTCTCGGTGGTGGGTTTGCCCGGTCATATTGTTCTTTAATCACCTGGGTATAAATCAATACAGTTCAGCCATCTTTTTCTCCTCTTGTGTAGTTTGGGATTTGCTTCGAAAACAGTAGCAGAGAGCTTCAGGAGATAGCTAAGGATCAATTCATAGCTGTACTCCCACTGTTAGCAACCAAACCAATGTCTGGATTTGTTCTTGTAGACAGACTTCTGTTCCAGGTTGTGAGATGCATGGGCATATGGGCAGAGATCTCAAGCTGTCTCCATTGGAAGTCTTCAGAAAACTCAGATTTCTAGAAATATAAATACAGAATAGATCAGACTTAATATATCAATGTGATTAACAAATCATGATTTTTGTCATATGATGTGTTGCAAGGGATACCAGATAGCTCTGAAATGTGTCACTAAAATAATCCCTGATGTGCTAAATCTCCGTGTGATGTATTCCTGTACGATGACGATAGCAATCTGTTTGTGTAGAATAGACGGGCCGTCCCAGTGGTAAATACCATACATAAAATTTTCTGATATTTCTGTATTTTTGTGTTGCATCTGAGGTAGATGTTTACCTGGCCCCCCATCACTGTAACACTGATATGTTCCTTTTCATATCTTTGTAATACAATATCTGGCCAGAAAGATGTAACAGATTTGGCAGATGGGAAAATCAAGGCACAAAAGTTGAATAATTTTCCCAGAACACTGCTAGAAGTGACTTGTGCGCCTGTCCAGACCTCAACCACAGACCTTACCATCATCTTGGAGGATCCACCACCCTTGTGAGATCTTCACTGAATTCTGTGGTGACAGCGCAGTGACCCAGCACATCTCTCATGGCATGCATGCTTTGTCTGGGACCCTTCCTCATGCTTGTGCATCAGAGCAGACACTTGCACACATGTAGATTTGCAGTCTTAAGGGGCTGGATTTGTCAGGTTCCCATTGCATGTTGTCTGCCTTAGTTTTTGTGCTTGTGGAATGTTTAGTGATACTTTTGAGTAAGTGAAGTGAGATTTGACTGTCACCATTATCAGTGCTTTTTTGTGTGTCAATAGCACAAAAATTTTGTGTTAATTGTTGTGCCATTAAATTTCAAGCAGACAGACTTCCTGGTTCTGCTGGAGTGGAGCTCAAGTTTGTGGGAAAAGCCTGAATCATTGGGAGAAGAGAGTCCTTAAAACTGCTTGATGCTGTCAGTAGATCTCTGTAGCATCTCTATGGTACTGGGTATGTCAGAGTCTGCCTAGAGAGGCCACACAGAAGTAGTGATGGAAAAAGAAACATTTAGACTAAGCACCTCCCCTCATTTAGCATATTGCACAGTGTCTGTGAGATGTAACTTGTGAATCAAGCAATGGAAAACAAAATGCTGAAGACTCTTGATGTTTGACTTTCCTGATGTTGCTCATGTTTGAATCATTGAATATAACAAGCAATGAACAACTGTGTTGTAGAAGTTGCACAACATAAAACATTTGGAAGAGTGAATTGAAGTGTGATGATTTTATTTTCAGGGATCACTTTCTGAAGAGACGAAGTTTCCAGCCTAACACGATCTCTTAAATACTGCAGTGTCTGGGAGAGACAGCAATTATTTACAGTCTTTGGAGGGTAGGCTGACAAACTGCATATCCTCATCAAAGGCTCAGGAGGACAGCTTTTGACAAAATTTATCTTCTCTTACAGGACCTGAGCAATGTGGTGTTTGCTATTTCAATACAGTATCTCCTTTAGAATGTTATATTATAGAGGCTGAAACCACATGTTGTCCTGAAACATGTTACGGCTCTGGAATGCATCCTTTATCCCAGGAATTTGTCTGATCAGTAACTTTCGTTACAGCTAAAATGCAAACAGTAAAGGTTTGTCAAATCAGCTAACTCACCCCACTGATGCAGCAGGAGTGACTATCTTGTGTCTGGGAGATTTACAAAGCAGACTGGGTAGAAGTGGTTAAATGTGTGCCACAGGAAGCTTTTGTCTGTCTCCCTGTCTCTTCATTTTAGCATGCTCCCTGTTTTTTTGATGGTTGTTTGTGTCGTCTTACCTTGCTCTGTTTGATGTTTGTATTTTAGTCACAGCTGTAGCCAGTTCGTCCTTTCACACAAAAAGAGTAATGTCTTCCCAGCACAGCGGACCAGTTTGTACAACTCTCCAGTGCCTTGGTAAAGCAGTTTTGTAAGAAAATAAAGGTAAAAAGTTTCATGTTACATTTTTTCTTTCTTTTTTTTTTTCCTGTTTCAGTGAGGGTCCCATATTTCATTGACTTGAAAAGACCACAGGATCAAGGTTTAAACCACACCTGTAATTATTACCTGCAGCCAGAGGAGGATGTAACCATTGGAGTTTGGTAAGGAAGCCTGTTCTATGCAGTATGTGCTGTGTGTGTTTATCCTTCCTTTTGTTCTCAATGTTGCCTATCCCGTATTTTTGCTGTGCCTGTGACAACCATGACCTGCTCTGATTTGTGAATGTTTGTGTTTTCCTCTGCCAAGTGACCAAGTTCATGTTGAAAAGTATGCAAATCTCTGGAGCTCATCTGAACTTGGATTAGTAATGCATGAAACACAATTGGACAACCTGTGCATTCAGAGAAACTTCATAATTTGGGATCGTAAAGGTTCCAGGTCTGCATTGCTACAAAGATTGTGCCTTCATATCAGGCGAGACCTAAGGAGTCAGAAGTTTCGTCGTTCAACTGCTGTTCGTATTTTGTTTTGCAAAATAAATGTGGGGGAAGTTAGGAAAACAGGATCAAAGTGTTCAGAGTAGGAGGAAGAATGTTCTGCATGTAAAACATATGTAAGGTTTGGAGAGTGGGTGAGGAAGGAACATGCAGTTTACTCTCTTAACAAAACAAGTGACAGTGTCAGAGCTCACTTGTCATTTCTTAGTCAAGAAGAAGGTTTTGTAGTCCCAAGCAAGGGCAATTCATTTTAGCTTCTTGTTTCTCAGGATCAGCATAGATGACTGGTTCTCTGTCTGAAAAAGTCTGCTTTTAGTATTATTAGACCAGCTCAAACCAGCTGCTGCATCTGTCTCATGATCACTTTCTGTTGTGTCTCAACACCAGGAGTTTCAAAGCCACAGATAAGTTCCTGCTAGCTTTGAAGAAAAAGTAGTGCCTGTGGTTTAAATACATATTAAAGAGCAGCAAACACCTGAAAGAATGGCTAGACCCCATGTCAGGTGTGGAGGGAAGGGGACTGTTCCTTAACACAGCCAGTGATGTTAGATCTGTAATCCATGGGATTTGGAGTTTTTGGTTGTGTGCGTGACTTTTATGTGTCTGCTAATGCAGTAGAGATTTTTCTCTTCACTTGAGGGCATATGACCTTTTGAATAGGACAGTGATATTCTGATACATAAAGATGGTTCCTTCCCTTTAGGTGAATTTTGGTGAAAGACATGTTTAGAACTGGAAGTTCATACTCTCCAGGGTAGGCTGATAAATAACAGTTTGTGTCTTCACTCGGACAATTAAAATTCTACCTGCTAAGCTGTTGAATAAGTTTAGATTGCAGTCTTGAGATTTTTTATTTTTTTCCCCATACAAATGTACTGTGTGTCTTCACTAAAACAGAACTTCCAGCTTTTGGTGGCAATTTGGACTCTGTGTTGTTTGTCTTGATACTTTTGAGATGGGTTTTTACGGAAGTTGGGAGCCTTGTTTTAACGCCAGTGTAAGGTCTTGTGTTTGGTGTACTTCTGAAACGAAGTCCTCAGTCTGCTATGTTCATAAGCTTGCAAAAGTCTTGAGATAGAACAGCTGGAGAAATTGAGTGCTACAGTTACAAGCGCTTTTTACATCCTTGAACTCAATGTCTGCTGGCTGCGTGCATGCCAGTAAGACTTTTTACATTCTTTTCCCCTGTGTTGGCTTGTCCTCTGAGCTTTACATCTGGGAGGAGGCTGTGTAGATGGGAGTTTGTCTTTCTTCCAAGGAGAAAGGTATGCGAATATTCAAGTTACTTCTGACAGCTGTAAGCTGGCTCCCTTCTCAACAGTCTGAGATGGTTGTGGACATGTACTCGTATTCAGTGTTTGTCTTCTAGAGTAATTATCCAGTTTAAATGCCTGCTTTCTCTTCAGTCTGCTGTTCCAGCCTTTCCATTCCCCCAGTGTTGAATGCTTTCTAACAGGCTGCCCAGCTATATTATCTACAGAAGAACAGCTTTGAGTTAAAAATTCCTAGCTCTTCTAGATTGCAGCTTTTCTAACTAAAATGTTATGCCTTCAGGAACCTGGTATCTGAAAACAAAATATGTGATCCTTCTTATCAGACCCTGAGCCTCTCTTTTTCCTCAGATCGACTGTGGAGTCAGATATGCCGTCTCCTCGCTGAACATTCTTTCCAAAACCAGCTAACTTTGGTGATTATTCTGAATATCTGCTGACCTAGCTGTGAATCTTATTTGTGGTGTATGTTAATTGAAGTAATGATATGTCATAAAAGCAGAGGAATTGAGATTCTTTCTCAGCGGGAAGTTCAGTGATAGTGCTTTGGGTTTGCCTGTGAAGTTTGATGCCTTGCGGAGCCCTGAGTTTTGAAGGCAGCGGTGATGGAGGTGAAAATGTAGAAATAACCCTAGCCACTGCCTTTTAAATTTGGCTTTTTGTCAGCTGATCATGATGGTTTTGTGACAGTGGGTGTGAGGTGTGTAATGCTGCGTTAGAGTTGATCAGAAACTCAGAATTCAAGTGGCAGACACTGAGTAGCAACAGGACAATGTATTTTTTTCCTTCTGTATACAGGCACACGGTCCCTGCAGCCTTAGGGAAGAATGCCCGAGGGAAGGACCAGTTGTGGTTTGAAGATGCTTTGGGTTCCAGCCATCCTGTAATTCTTTACTTGCACGGCAATGCAGGAACAAGGTGAGGCACAAAACAGCGATGACTGTTTCATGCTGTGTTTTCCTGGCTTGCTACACTTTGAACACATTGATTAAAAAAAAAAACAAAAATCTTAAAGCAGTCCTTTCTTTTAGAAGAAAAGCATGATTTAAGAAATGATGCCTCTCATTTATTGAATGTGGGAGTAAATTTTTTGCGATTACCAGAGATATCTGATATTGTAGCTTACTTTGTATCCTTTGTCTGCTGGAAGCCAGGAGACTGTAACACTTACTAGATCAGGTAGGGAGAAGTACTACTTTTCAGTATAGTGATCTCTGAATCAAGACATGGGATAGTATTAGTGTTTCCATAGAAGTGATTTAAATGCATTAAATAAATTAAAGTTCCTTTCATGAGCTTATTTTAGTAGTTAACACATTCTGAGGAAGGAAAATTGGAAGGAAAGAGGAAGGTAATGTGCTGGTCTTGTTTCATTATTGCATATGTACAAGACATTTGTCTGGAACAGAAGCATTTCTAAAATTTGTAGTTTTATAGTTTACTGTGTGTATTGGCTAAAGAAGTAGATTGGTTCTCTAGACTTTGTTGCTGGATGCTAAAAACCATTAGCACAGCATGAGACTTCCTTGAGGTTTCTCAGAATCACATTATTACTGCCACATCTCTGCATGATACAGTGCTTCAGTTATTAGAACTTGGTCTTTTTCCGTACTAATATGCATCTTACAAAGAATATCAGCCCCTTTCTGAGTTTTGAGTTTTGAGTGCTGCTGCATGTTCTTTTGAAGCTGGTGTCTGCTTGCAGATACTCTGCAAGAGCAGAAATGTTGTGGAAATACAAGTTCCGTGATGGTAAAGCAAAGAAGCTCTTTCTTAACTGTGCTGGTAGTGAAGGTTTGCTAGCCTCTACATTGCAGGAACATTTTCGTTTTTCACCTAAATTCTTGTCTGAGCAGTGTTCTTTTTTGGTACGAGGGCATGGTGTGGAAGGTGCATACTGTGAGCCAGGAAATGCATGAGCACATGGGTCTTTGGCACCTGACTTTGTCGTCTTGTGCTGATGTATTACAAGGTTTAGTCAAATTGTTGCATTGTTTATCAAATACTGCTTTGCTTGTTTTCTTGCCTTTATTGCGTGTAGCAGATGATACTAATGGAAGCTATTCTGCAGCTTAATGGTGGTAATTTGGGACCAGTATCTCTTATGGGCGTATTGATGAGATTTACTTCTTGGCTTCTCCAAGTGCTACTGAGATAAAGTACTGAGCTATGGATCAATTACATATTTCACATTTTGCTTTACTCTGGGCATTGGAGAAGCTGGAGGTGTACTGGCTTTGCCATTTCAGCTTTAATATATATTGCTGTGTGTTTTTACACTGCATATTCAGTCTCTTGTCCAAGGACTGCTTTATTGATGAAGGCTGCATTAACCATAAGTAAAAGGCACTGCCTTGGCTTTCTGGTTTGCCTGAGTGGTCTGGAGCTGAGGCAAAAGTGCTGTGTTCACTTGATCCGCTTAGAAAAAAAAAAAAATCCTCTGTTATACTTTGAGGAATGCATGAAAAGGCACCAATGTGTGCACATCAAGGGCGACTTTTCAAGTAAGTTTATCTTGTTCTTCTGTAGACTTGTATGATTCAAAGTGGCTTACAAGCAACCCGTTGCATTTTGCCCTGAGTGTTTTTGGCTGCTTTAGGTAACTTGTAGTGCAGTTGGAACTCACAGCTTTTGGCTGACAAATGCATGTGTTCTTAGAGGGAGATCTGGAAAGTGGAATTTTGGTTTAGAGGCTGCACTGACCAAATCAGTTGTAGTGTGAATGTTACAGTTTTCATATGAGTGCAGGAGTAAATCTACATTTACTTCAATCCTAGACTAAAATTTGAGTGTGGATTAGCAGTATCACATTGTGGATATATTTTAAAGCATGTAATGGCATGTCTAGACTCCTTTCCATTTTATTGTCGGATTTCAATTTATGAAAAAAACATTAAAGCACATTCTTCCCCTGGACTTATTTAGAGTGTTTGACTTCTGTTTTCTTTGCTCAGTCTTTTGCACATGTCTTTTCGTCCCTGTGCCTGGAGCCAGGTGAGAAAATCCAAGGGCCAGTTTCTTGGGTTAATGTGGTGAGTTCTGCTGAGAGCATCACACTTGAGAGAGCTGGAGTTACTGGCTGGGGCAGTGCTGGCAACAGGAGCATAGGGTCTGCAAAACCAACAGGGACAGGCTGTTTTGGATGTATTACAGGCTTTGGAAAAGATAGATAGGAGAGTGGGTTGAAAAGTTCGTCTTTACCTGCTGTGAGAAGAGATTTATAGGGAGAAGCTGATTTTAAAACTGTTCTGCATAGCTCAGCAAAGCCTTGCTGTCTCCTTGAAGCCTGTGACAAAGTAGTTATGGTGTTTCTTGTGTTTGGTATGTTTGTGTTAAACTGGAAGCCTGAGGCAATTGGGAGAGTGTTTCTGGAAGCTTAACTTTTCACCTGTGGTTTTTTCTTGTTTTTTTTTTTTTTTTTTTTTTTTTTTTTCTCCTCTTCATGAATCACTTTCGCCAGAGGAGGGGATCACCGCGTGGAGCTTTACAAGGTAAGTGACTGCACGTGTTGTCCAAGTATTTGCATTAACACATCAGATGTGCACAGACTTGAGAAGACTGCTCATTATAGCCCACTGCCAACCAGCAGATAGCTTAGGGCTCTTAGTCTCCTCTAGATATGAAGTATGTATGGGAAAAGGAGTCTGTAAGCCGTGAGCACGCTTTCCCGTATTAAAAGATATTTGAAAGGTCTTTTATTTGCTGCTGTTTACTGTCAGCTGCAACTGAGCTAACCAGGTTCTTTGCCAGGAATACTTTCACAACACCATTTATAGGAAAAAAACCAGAAGTTTCGTTTAATCACAGCTGTAATTTGATTAATTATTCTAGTATACTAATTTGAGGTACCATTTAAGAGTATTCTTTCATGTGTTACCAGTCTCTATATGTTTACCTTCATGGAACAGAATATTTTCACTTGGAAGGGACCTATAGTGATCATCTAGTCCAACTGCCTGACCCCTTCAGGGCTGACCAGAAGTTAAAGCACATTAAGGGCATTGTCCAGGTGCCTCTTAAACACGGCCAGGCTTGGGGCATCAACCATCTCTCTAGGAACCCTGTTCCAGTGTTTGACCACCCTCTCAGTAAAGAATTGCTTCCTAATGTCCAGTCTAAACCCCACCTGGCACAACTTTGAACCATTCCCATGCCTCTTATGACTGGATACCAGGGAGAAGAGATCAGCACCACCCTTTCCACTTCCCCTCCTCAGGAAGCTGTAGAGAGCAATGAGGTAGCCCCTTGGCCTCATTTTCTCTAAACTAGGCAAAGTCTTTAGCCACGCCTCACAGGACATTTCTTCCAGCCTTTTCACCAGCTTTGCCCTCCTCTGGACGCAATCGAGTACCTTCACATCCTTCTTAAATTGTGGGGCCCAGAACTGCATGCAGTGCTCAAGGTGAGGCCGCCCCAACACTAAACACAGCGGAATAATCACCTCTTTTGACCATCTGGTTATGCTGTATGTAATGCACCCTAGGACGCAGTTTGCTCTCTTGGCTGTCGGGGCACACTGCTGGCTCCTATTGAGCCTGCTGTCAACCAGAACCCCCAGATCCCTTTCTGCAGGACTGCTCTCCAGCCACTCCTCTCCTAATTTATACTTGTTCCCAGTGTTACTCCATCCCAGGTGCAGAATCTAGCATTTGTTCTTGTTAAATTTCATGCCACTGATGATTGCTCAGTGCTCCAATCTATCCAAATCCCTCTGCAAGGCATCTTGTCCCTCAAGAGAGTCAACAGCACCTTCCAGTTTGGTATCATCAGCAAACTTGCTAATGGTGCATTCAACTCCTGCATCCAGATTGTTGATACATATATTGAACAGAACTGACCCGAGAACTGAGCCCTGAGGAACACGGCTGGTGACTGGTCACCAGCCGGATGTAGCCCCATTAACTACAACCCTTTGAGCTCTGTCCTTCAGCCAGTGCTTCACCCAGCGCACAGTGTATCTGCTCATCTCACAGGTGGACAACTTATAGAGAAGGATGCTGTGAGGGACGATATCAAAAGCCTTACTAAAATCCAGAAAGACTACATCTACCACTTTCTGTTCTTCCACTAGGTGGGTGACCTTATAGAAGAATGTCAAATCAGTTAGGCAGGATTTCCACTTTGTGAGCCTGTGTTGACTGTGCCTGATGATTGCGTTATTTTTTAAATGCCTTTCAGTAGTACCCAGTATAATTTTCTCCATAATTTTTCCAGGAACTGAGGTTACACTAACAAGTCTGTAGTTTTCCGGCTCTTCCCTCACGCCATTCTTGTAAATTGGAGTAATGTTGGCTAGCTTCGAGTCAGCAGGGACCACCCCAGACTCCCAAGACCTTTGGTAGATGATTGAGAGTGGTCCTGCCCAAAGTCACTGTTCCCACACTCGTGGTCATCTGACTCAGGGGACCGGGCAGCCCAAGGTCTATCAGTATTATTAAAGACTGAGAAGAAAAACCAACATTGAGTGCCTCCGTTTTTTTTCTTCATCCATATTAGTCAGATGACCATCTTCAACAAGTATAGGTCCAATATTTTCTTTAGACCTTCTTTTGCTATTAACATACTTAAAAAAAGCCCTTTATCTGAAACAGCACTGGCCAGTTTCAACTCTAATTGAACTTTGGCCTTTCATGTCTTCTCCCTGTATGTATGAACCACAGCTCTGTCGTCTTCATGTGAAGCCTGACCTCGCTTCCAGAGATGAATTTCTTTTTCCTCTTGAGCTCCATGAGGACTTCCCTGTTCAGCCAAGCTGGTCTTCTGCCCTGCTTGTTTGACTTGTGACACAATGGGATTGCCTGCTGCTGTGCTTCAGAAAGGTGGTTCTTAAAGACTGACCAGCACTCGTGGACTCCTAAGCTGTCAAAGGCAGATTCCCAGGGCACTCTTATAAATAGTCCAGGGCAGCAACTCTGCCATCCTTTTTTTTTGTTACGTTGAAACGACTGACCAGCACTCGTGGACTCCTAAGCTGTCAAAGGCAGATTCCCAGGGCACTCTTATAAATAGTCCAGGGCAGCAACTCTGCCATCCTTTTTTTTTGTTACGTTGAAACTTTTAAATTCAACCATTTCATGATCACTGTGGCCAAGACAGCCACCTACCATCGCATCTCCCACAAGTCCTTCTCTATTCACAAATAGCAAGCCTATGGGGACATCTTTCCTAGTTGGCTCACTGAGTACCTGTGACAAGAAGTTATCTCCTACAAATGTCATGAATTTCCAAGACCTGCTCGTCACGGCAGTGTGGTATTCCAGGCTGATGTCTGGAAAGTTGAAGTCTTCCATAAGGACAAGGGCTACTCATCCAGAAATGTATCCTAATTGCCAATAGAATAACTCATCAGTGCTTACATCCTGGCTGAGCAATCAGCAGTAGACACCCACTGCAACATCTTTGTTTTCCATCTCTGTAATCCTCACCCAGAGGCTATCAACCACGTCATCACTAACTAAGTTCTGTATAATCAAAATGTCTCCGTTATGTAGAGTGAGACACCTCCACCTCACCTGCCCTGCCTGTCCCTCCTCAACAGCCCCTGGCCCTCCATCCCAGCACTCCAATCATGGGACTCATTCCACTGAGTCTCACTAGCACCAATCATATCATAGTTCTGGGAAGTAACCAGCACTTCCAGTTCATCCTGTTTGTTTCTCATACAGTGTGCGTTGGTGTACAAGCATTTAGGATATGCTCGTGAGCCCTCTGTGCTGCCAGGAGCAGTGTAAATGTTCCCACTAGCATTGTCACTCTCGGGCGATAACATGCTGACTCTTGGCTTACCTACTGCAATCCTGTTGGTATCCCCTTCCCCCACTGATTCTGGCTTAAAGCCCTCTTGATCAGTCCTGCCAGCTTATGCCCAAAGATGAGTTTTCCCCATTAGGACAGGTGGATACCATCAGGCACCAGTATACCTTGTGTTTTGAAGGCTCTTCCATGGTTTAAGAGCCCTGAGTTTTGGCAGAGGCACCAGTCCTGGAGCCAGGTACTGATATCCTGGGCTCACCTGTTTCTTCTGAAGTCTCCCCCCATTACTGGGAGGATTGAGGAAAACACTACCTCTGCTCCCGAATTTTTTAGCATTCTGAAATCTCTTTTGATCAACCTCAGACTTTTTGTTGCGACATCATTAGTGAAAGAGCAGGAATGGATAGTAGTCTGAAGGTTGTATTAAGCTCTTCACTGTTGTGGTGACATCCCTAATTTGAGCCCCAGGGAGGCAGCAAGCTTCCCTGAAAAGAGGGTCTAGTCTGCAAATGGGTGCTTCTCCTCCACACAGGAGGGAATTGCCAACTACCGTAACTTGCTGTTGTTCCTTCTTGGCACTGGTCTTAGCGCAGGTTTTGTTGCGAGGATGCCATACATGATGCCATACATCATCAGATGCCATACATCACCAACTGCTGGGAAAATATACATGGATTGAGGCCAGCTTGGATTCCTTGCACTGTTCAAACTTCTGAAGGTGACATTTGGTCTTTTAAACACCAAAATGTTGGGCCGAGACAGTATAAACTTCCCTGTTGGTCCATTAGTTGGCTGGGGTAACAAAGCTAGTACTTGCCTATTCGCAAGTACTTGCCTATATATTTTTGTTGCAAAAAGTATATTCAGGGTTGCCGGTGTAGGGGTTACTTCATCACTGGTCAGGCAGGCAGGTTCAGCCTGGCTTTCCGCCTTTCCTATGGCACAGTGCATTTGTTCGAGTGGTGCCATCTCAAGTGCTGAAAATTTTGTTCAAAACCTAATGAATTTCCCAGAGGTAGCACCATATGTGAGAATAGGCCATTTCAGCTGCCTTGGGTATTTTGCCTGATGTTTTTTGCGGTCATTTATTTTATTAAACTCTCTCTTGGCTGAAAATGTTGGGCCGAGACAGTATAAACTTCCCTGTTGGTCCATTAGTTGGCTGGGGTAACAAAGCTAGTACTTGCCTATTCGCAAGTACTTGCCTATATATTTTTGTTGCAAAAAGTATATTCAGGGTTGCCGGTGTAGGGGTTACTTCATCACTGGTCAGGCAGGCAGGTTCAGCCTGGCTTTCCGCCTTTCCTATGGCACAGTGCATTTGTTCGAGTGGTGCCATCTCAAGTGCTGAAAATTTTGTTCAAAACCTAATGAATTTCCCAGAGGTAGCACCATATGTGAGAATAGGCCATTTCAGCTGCCTTGGGTATTTTGCCTGATGTTTTTTGCGGTCATTTATTTTATTAAACTCTCTCTTGGCTGAAATTCTCACAGACAATTTCTTGGTCTCTCATCACGTATGTGTAAAAGCCAGAATTATTTTTGCTGGCTCATTTCAGAGGGGTCTGAGTCTGTGTTTTTCCTGTGAATTTAACTGTCATTTCCTTCTCTTTATAATTTGCGTCAGAGTGTTGGCACTCATTAAGCTTTGTTGCGATGCAGCTCCGTATGCAAGATCCCCTGCCACAAAGTCTTTCTAATTCAGATTGCTTAGAAAATGCTGTTTGACATCCCCAGG